AACCAACCCACCCCCCCCCCCCCACCCCCCCCCCCACCCCCACACACCACCCCCCCACACCCCCCCCCCCCCCAAAAAAAAAAAAACATGTCTACCGTCCCATTGCAAGAAAACCACTTTTTAGATTAGACACATTAATTAGGCGGTAATTTTATTATAGAGTATCGATGAGGAAATTTCTTTTGAGTTGGGGAGGGGGGGGGGGGGGGGCTCAGACGTTCTTACGCGGGGGGTGGGGCTTCGCCCCTACCCGAAGAATTGTATGCAAGAAACTCTTCACGCAAACCATTTAGATTAGACAACATTTCCTTTTTTTCAATGTTTACTTACGCGAGAATCAATGACGTCATTACATTACTGTGTGCACTCTCTGGTTTGAGATTATGTTCTACTCTACGCTAAATGTGTCGACGTCATATTTCGTTTTTCGAATTACTGTGCATGTTTTTAAATTGCTTGTGTTTTCTCTAGAGCGTTCTTGTCAGACAGAGCGTTCTTGTCAGACAGACAGCGAAACTATTATTATAGAAAGATACATACACAGACAGCGAAACTATTATTATAGACGAGAAAAATGGCCCGTTGAGGAAGGATACACCGGGCGCTAGGTTGATAGTGCTGTCTCTTTTCTCTAAACTCCCTCCACACACCGCCCCCCCCCCACCCCCCACCCCCCCCCCCCCCCAAAAAAAAAAACATGTCTACCGTCCCATTCAACGAAATATAATTATATACTTTTTCCAGTGTCCGCCCCCTCCCAGAAAATTCTACCCCCGCCCCCGAAAATTTCAAGTACCCCCCACCCCTCTCCGGGGAGGAAAAAGTCTGAAAGAAACACTGAAACCAACCCACCCCCCCCCACACACACCACCCCCCCATCCCCCCACACACCACCCCCCCCCCCACCCCACCCCCCCCCCCACCCCCCACCCCCACTCCCAAAAAAAACATGTCTACCGTCCCATTCAACGAAATATAATTATATACTTTTTCCAGTGTCCGCCCCCCTCCCCGAAAATTCTACCCCCGCCCCCGAAAATTTCAATTACCCCCACCCCTTTCCGGGGAGGAAAAAGTCTGAAAGAAACACTGGTGTCGCGCTTAGCCACTACCCGAAGAATTGCATTAAAGAAATTGCAAGAAAACCACTTTTGAGATTAGACACATTAATTAGGCGGTAATTTTATTATAGAGTATCGATGAAGAAATTTCTTTTGAGTTGGGGAGGGGGAGGGGCTCAGACGTTCTTACGCGGGGGGTGGGGCTTCGCCCCTACCCGAAGAATTGTATGCAAGAAACTCTTCACGCAAACCACTTAGATTAGACAACATTTCCTCTTTTTTCAATGTTTACGCCAGAATCAATGACGTCATTATATTACTGTGAGATTATTTTCTACTCTGTGCGCTAAATGTGTCGACGTCATACTTCGTTTTTCGAATTACTATGCATGTTTTTAAATTGCTTGTCTTTTCTCTAGAGCGTTCTTGTCAGACAGATAGATAGATAGATAGATAGATAGATAGATAGATAGATAGATAGATAGATAGACAGACAGCGAAACTATTAGTATTAATTGCTTTTTTAATTTTTTATTTATTTTTAAATACACATACGTTTTAGTTATTATTTAAATTTAGACATTGCTATAAATGGCTGGAGCAAAGCCTTGCCATAACAGATAGTATTCTAATGAAATGATAAGAAATGTTATGTGCATGTTTGTTAGCTGTACACATGTATTACAGATGACACGACGCAACCAACAAACTGTTAACAGTAAGAATTTTGCCTAAAGACAAGAAGTTTGAAAAAATCCCCCTCATGCTATTATTGTACTAATTAATACCTTAATGTAGCTAATACCTAAAATACAAAATAAAAAAGATTCTATTATTTTCAAATCGTATTTTGAAAAAAAAATACTTGAAAAAAAAACATCTGAGTCAAGCTGACCAATAATCCTGACGATAGTAAACACATTAATGTTTGCTTTTCAAATAGTCTTAGACTGCTATAAAAAATGGACGGTATGATATCCCCCCCTCCGTGTTAGGTGGACGTAGAGGGGCGCTGTCGGGAGCCTCAAGTTACACTACCGCCCCTGGCTCGGTTTAATCATCGAGTATCGTGTGCCATCGTGTCCATATTGTAGGTGCTTCTTAAAACTAACGTAGGCGCCACAGTGCTCACGAGTGAGCCAGGGGCACCAAATAATCCCATGCCGAGGGAAGCGTTTGATTTGATATCTAACCCTAGCTCCTGATTCGATATAGTCAGCTATTAGTGTTGCACATCGTGTCTTTAGTGCATAGCTTTTTTTCTAAAACGAACGCAGGCGCCAAAGTGCTCACATGAGAGCACTGGGCGCTTCGGGTCACGCAATCACTTGGACGCCGACGGCTGCGTCTGTTGCCGTTATACCGCTGAATATAATAGTACCTCTTACCCGCTATGCAAGACGTCCAATGAACGGATACCAAGTTCTAAGATAGCCGCTCTGGAGCTATCCGTATACTGACACAAATCTTACCGTCCTGGGCGTCGCCCATAAGAACTTTTTTTTCGCAGAAACCTTATAGGGCGTATTTTATCAATTCCCCAAACTTTCATGGCACTCGGATGTACGGTGTCAAACCGCATCCGACTTTAATTTTTATATACCGTATATAGACTCCAAAATCGCATCGCTCACTGCTGGGGCGCCGTCCCTGCGAAATTGATTTTTTTTTCGCAGCATAAAAGATAAACACATACACGAACACACACATACTTTGATATATATATATATATATATATATATATATATATATATATATATATATATATATATATATATATATATATACATATATATATATATACATATATATATACATATATATATATATATATATATATATATATATATATATATATATATATATATATATATATATATATATATATATATATATATATATATATATATATATATATATATATATCTATATATATATATATATATATATATTATACACATGAAATTTATATTATCACGATTCGATTACAATAGATGAACGAATGCTATTAATATAGACTAACAATATATACCCCCCCCCACACACACACACACTCACACAGCACACTCAGGTAGACAAAAGTTTTTTTTTCCCTCTCTCAGTTGTAACCAGTCAATACATTTGTCACAAGGGGCCGTGTTCTTATGAAGAGACTGCGCGCGTTTACCTGCCTTTAGGACTAGAAGAGTTTTTAGCTATTTGTTTAGACATTGAGAAAAAAAAACTGAGTTCAGCACTGAGAAGAATCTGGCAGCATTTCTCTCTGCCACACATAGGTCACTGGGTCTAGTCAGGTAGTAGGACAAATCTATCCAATAGTTAGACTCCGCACTATTCCGGAGCGAAAATTCGGACACTTCTGCTTGACCGATACGATTCACAGTTGGCACGCGGGTCAAGACATGAAGACAATGCAATGTGAAATTAAATTTGACTTAATTGGATGCCTAATTAATTGTTTATGAATTAATTAAAATTTGGACCGAATTAGTAGGCATGTCTATCCAACCACACCACAAGCGTCATCACGTTCAATAGCTGCGCCATCACGTTCAGTAGGCGCGCAATAGTTTTTAGTCATGTAACTCTATTGTAAATAAAACATGTAAAGTACTGAAAAAAAATCATAAAAAACGTTTTAATAACAAGCTTTTATGTAATAATGCACTAAAAAGTAGAAAATAAAATATAGACTACTATTTAAATAACTATAAAAGAAAAGCGTGGGTGTCTTCCTAAACATTGGTAAAGGTATGCAATAGATACTAAAGTGACCCACGCTTTTCTTTGCTTGACCGATGCGGTTCACACTTGGCACGTGGGTCAAGACATGAAGACAATGCAATATGAAATTAAATTTGATTTAATTGGATGCCTAATTAGTTTTTTATGAATTAATTAAAATTTGGACCGAAAAATGTAGGCATGTCTATCCAACCACACCACACGCGTCATCACGTTCAATAGCTACGCCATCAGGTTCAATAGCTGCGCCATCACGTTCAATAGACGTGCAATGGTTTTTAGTCATGTAACTCTATTGTAAATAAAACATGTAAAGTACTGAATTTTTTAAATAAAAAACGTTTTAATAACAAGCTTTTATGTACTAATGCACTAAAAAATAGAAAATAAATTATTCACTACTATTTTAATTACTATAAAGATAAGCGTGGGTCTCTTCTCAAATATTAGTAAAGGTATCCAATAGGTACTAATGTGACCCACGCTTTTCTTTATAGTTATTTAAATAGTAGTCTATAATTTATTTTCTACTTTTTAGTGCATTAATACATAAAAGCTTGTTATTAAAACGTTTTTTATGAATTTTTTTATAAGCTTAAGTTTTATTTAACTCACTTCCTCTGTCGTCAGTAGTCAGTCTGTCTAGATCGAAACGCCGGAGTGAAAATTCTGACACTTCTACTTGACCGATACGATTCACAGTTGGCACGTGGGTCAAGACATGAAGACAATGCAATCTGAAATTAAATTTAACTTAATTGGATGCCTAATTAATTTTTTATGATTTTTTTTTAAATTACTATAAATATAATTACTTCTACAATGTTAGTAAAGGTATCCAATAGGTACTAAAGTGACCCACGCTTTTCTTTATAGTAATTAAAATAGTAGTGTATAATTTATTTTTTACTTTTTAGTGCATTATTACATAAAAGCTTGTTATTAAAACGTTTTTTTCATTAATTTTTGTATTGTCTCAGATATGTTATTTACAGCGTCAGTTTATCACTTGTCATGGTGACCTTCTCATGATCAGTGCAACACCTGGACAGCTTAAATAAAAACTTTGGTCTCTCATGAGATCTCTACCATATTTTGACTAGGTGTAAGTCTGAATACCTAGCCCCTTCACACCAACTTGAACACATAGATTTCAAACGCTTTATCAAATACCCTTTTCATTTATTTTTGCAGATACTGCCCATCGATTGAGTCCAAAATTTTGAGATTCCAAAGGAAAAGTCATCAAATCTGGTTGGAACCAGAAGGTTAGTTCTTGAGTTGCTGCACCACTGGCTGCCTTGTGGAGGGGGGGGGGGCTACTGCACTACTGGCTACCATGTGGGGGGGGGGGCTACTGCACTACTGGTTGCCTTGTGGGGGGGGGGGGGGGCTACTGCACTACTGGCTACCATGTGAGGGGGGGGGGGGCTACTGCACTACTGGTTGCCTTGTGTGTGGGGGGGGGGGGGGGTTACTGCACTACTGGCTACCCTGTGGGGAGGGGGGCTACTGCACTACTGGCTACCCTGTGGGGGGGGGCTACTGCACTACTGACTACCCTGTGGGGAGGGGGCTACTGCACTACTGGCTACCCTGTGGGGAGGGGGCTACTGCACTACTGGCTACCCTGTGGGGGGGCTACTGCACCACTGGCTGCCCTGTGTGGGGGGGGGGGGGCTACTACACCACTGGCTACCTTGTGGGGGGGGGGGGCTACTGCATTACTGGCTACCCTGTGGGGGGAGGGGGCTACTGCACTACTGGCTACCCTGTGGGGGGAGGGGGCTACTGCACTACTGGCTACCCTGTGGGGGGGGGGGGCTACTACACCACTGGCTACCTTGTGGGGGGGGGGGCTACTGCACTACTGGCTACCCTGTGGGGGGAGGGGGCTACTGCACTACTGGCTACCCTGTGGGGGGGCTACTGCACCACTGGCTACCCTGTGGGGGGACTACAACATTGACTAGCTTTCGTATTTTTGTTTTTTTTTGTTTACAAAATCTTTAAACACAATCAATAATATTGTGAACACGAAAATCTATATTTGACTTGTCTTAATTAAAAAAAAAAGAGCTGAAATTAACTTGAATCGTTATTTGAACATTCAGAAAATACAAATTCAATGAAAGATTTGTCTAATATGGGAAGTGGCCCAAACTCCATCCATGTTAAAAATATGTTTGTCTAGGCTTGAACTCAGATGTGATCTACCCCCAAGGAATGTCCTGTACAATGCCAGAGGAGTACCAGGTGGCTTTAATGAGATCAATACCTGGGCTAGAGAAGTGTCAGCTATTGAGGGCAGGTATGTCATTACATCAGTTGATCCACTATTGTGAGCAGGTATCTCATTACATCAGTTGATCCACTATTGAGAGCAGGTATGTCATTACATCAGTTGATCCACTATTGAGAGCAGGTACGTCATTACGGTAAACGGAAAAAAAGTCACAGGAAAAAAAAACACAGAAAAAAAGTCACAGTTTTTGCTAGGAAAAAAAGTCACAGAAAAAAAGTCACAGTGGGAAAATTTTATCGGAAAAAAAGTCACAGAAATAAAGTCACAGAAAAAAAGTCACAAAATCTTTTTAGAAATATTTTTATTAATTTGTTAAGAATTGTAAAATTTTGTATATTTATTGTTGTGGGTTGTATTTTTTTATAGCGTAAATTATTTATAGACGTTCAAAGCATTATGATTTATAACAATTGTAAGTAAAAATACTCTAAGATAATTAACACACTAATCTCAACTTTTGTTACGTATTTAGTTAAATACGCGGTAGAAAAGTTATTTATAAAAGAAATTTAGGCACATTTTGCGTAGGCTATTCTCTGGTCGGCCTCTCCTCAGTAGGCATTGTCCGAACATATTTTGTGTTGTTGACGTTATGCGTCAATGACAGCCTTTGAACCTTGTCGGCTTTCTGTTTTGATCCTAAGTTTTGTTATGTAATGAGCGTGATAAATGTGGGCAGTAAAGGTGGTTGAACTAAACATAACTATTGTTACCATGAGTTGAGGGCAGCAAGTCATATGAACTTACCATTTCACGGTAATTTAATATTGGTATTTTAAAAAAAAAACACGATGAAAAACGTGGACTTCTTTTAAATTCTACTAATCTTAAATTTAAAATAATTACAATCTACATACTTCATAATAAATATTTTTAGACGAATTATAAAAATTCATATGTGTATACAGCCTACACACATTACATTACATTTAATTAATCCTAAGTTAATTTACACTCTCTAAATATTTAATACATAAAAGTATTAACAAATATCATGCAAATATATATTTGTGACTTTTTTTCCTGTGACTTCTTTTCCTGTGACTTTTTTTCTGTGTTTTTTTTTCCTGTGTTTTTTTTTTCCTGTGACTTTTTTCCTACAATCGTCATTACATCAGTTGATCCACTATTGTGAGCAGGTACGTCATTACATCAGTTGATCCACTATTGAGAGCAGGTATGTCATTACATCAGTTGATCCACTATTGAGAGCAGGTATGTCATGACATCAGTTGATCCACTATTGAGAGCAGGTATGTCATTACATCAGTTGATCCACTATTGAGAGCAGGTATGTCATTACATCAGTTGATCCACTATTGAGAGCAGGTATGTCATGACATCAGTTGATCCACTATTGAGAGCAGGTATGTCATTACATCAGTTGATCCACTATTGAGAGCAGGTATGTCATGACATCAGTTGATCCACTATTGAGAGCAGGTATGTCATTACATCAGTTGATCCACTATTGAGAGCAGGTATGACATTACATCAGTTGATCCACTATTGAGAGCAGGTATGTCATTACATCAGTTGATCCACTATTGAGAGCAGGTATGTCATTACATCAGTTGATCCACTATTGAGGGCAGGTATGTCATTACATCAGTTGATCCACTATTGAGAGCAGGTATGTCATTACATCAGTTGATCCACTATTGAGAGCAGGTATGTCATTACATGAGTTGATACAGATATGAGGCATATCCAGATATTCTTACAATATTCATGTCTACTCATCAGGTTATGGCGTGGAATATGACTTTGTAGATCCCAGGCAACTCAAGCCCACCTTAGAAACTGAGAGAATTTCCCATCTTTATTTGGCTGGTCAGATCAATGGCACCACTGGATATGAAGAAGCCGCTGCTCAGGTTTGTCTTCTTGTACGCACTAGTGAGTCTGACCTACACATCAAGCTTTAGCTCATGTATCATAAGAGGTGCTTTAGCTCAGGTAAAGTTGGCTTTAGCTCATGGTACCTGGTACGAACTATCAATTTGGCGCCTCCCCCCCCCCCCCCCCCCCCCATATTTATATATATATATATATATATATATATATATATATATATATATATATATATATATATATATATATATATATATATATATATATATATATATATATGGGTATGCGACAGTTCGGAGAAGATTTAATTATTACAGAGTATGATTTTTGTTCCTTAACACTTTACTCCAAACTTTACACCGATTAAATTCCCCTTAAGGCGTTATTATTTTAAAAAAAAGATTAATGTCAGAAAAAAATATGCTGGTCTTAGTTTAGCAGGTGATTTATTGAGGCCAGACGTTTATGTTCTATCTTTGGAACAACCTCTGTTATCTGTTACATTGTTGGATTAAGAATAAGGTCATACAAGTAATACACAATAGCAAATTATCACTAACATTTATTGTACGCACTGGAATACGACATTGGTATTTTATTGACTGGTTGATTGTATAATGAGATGTGCGCTGCCGTTTCGCATATAGTCAACAAATGCAGAACAAATTGTACTGGTTGAAGAAGCAATAATAACCAGTTTAATGATAGTGGCACCACCCATGACGTTCTGATTAGAATCAGCAGCGATGAAATGCAGTTTAACTTTCTAAACCAATGGGGAATTCACATGCATTGTCAAATAACATTCAATCAGGATCTATAGCTAAATGTGTAGTCTCTTTTACTGTATTGCTCGAAGCTAATGAAAAGGTCGGGGTTAAGGCACAATATCAGAAATACATTACTAAGCAGTTGCTGGTGTGAAGTCTATGGGGAAAGAGGAAGACTAAAAAAGTCATGAAGGAAATCTTTTGAAATAGAGGTTGAATTGATCTGTAAATGATCTTCATAAGAAACCAAGGGACAAGGCATTGCCTACGCATACGCTCCTTAAGAAGTGTAAAAAAAATAAATCATAAAAACGTTTTAATAACAAGCTTTTATGTACTAACGCACTAAAAAGTAGAAAATAAATTATAGACTACTATTTAAATAACTATAAAGAAAAGCGTGGGTCACTTTAGTATCTATTGGATACCTTTACTAATGTTCAGAAAGAGACCCACACTTTTCTTTATAGTTATTTAAATAGTAGTCTATAATTTATTTTCTACTTTTTAGTGCATTAGTACTTAAAAGCTTGTTATTAAAACGTTTTTTTATGAATTTTTTTTCAGTACTTTACATGTTTTATTTACAGCTAGGCATGCTGCCCAGCTTCGCTTATGCTTTCAAAAACATTGAGAATTTGAATGCTTAATTAATTCGCCCGAGGGTCGGTCTACGACCTCAGGAGTTATGAAGAGGTTCCTACGTGGACACATTTTTTTCGATTTATAGCTCATATACGGCGCCGGTCAGTCAAGGTCTGTTTTGACCCCCTCATCGTAGACCTTTAGGCCAACCGGCACCGGCCCCCGTGTTCTGTCGCCCCAAGGCAAAATCCTGCCAAATTTGAAGCGCCTGCGGTGCCGGGAAGTGCCCGATGTCGGGCACACGACAACTTTGCTTCATATATTATAGAGATTAGCAAATTGCATAGATAAACAAAGATTTCCAAAGTAGTCCTTTTCTTTATAGTCTAAAATAGGAAGATTCACAAATTAAAAAAAAAAAAAATTAGGTTTGACTTGGTGTGTCTCGATCCAGCACCACCTGTCTGGTATCAAGTACACTACCATCTCAGCTAATTAGGTACCTTTTTAAAATATGGAGAATAAAAGAAGTGTTTAAAAAATAACTTACACCAATATGCCTATTTTTTTCAAATTTTTTTTACCCAAAATTAGCCAGTTTCATTGCTAAACAAACAAAGATTTCTATAAAATATTTAGATCTAAGTCCTGAAAAAGTTTATTATAGAAATTTATTTTTGAAATAGATTCTACAGTAGATAGAGTCTAAATCTAGATCTAGAATAGATCTTAGCGACGTAGCGTCTACGTCAAGTTTTTGCGTAGATTTAGATCTAGTCTAGTTCTAGAATCCAAATAGTTAAAATAATTTTTTTAAAGTTTAGGCCGCGAATATCGTATTGTATAGTCTACATTTCATAACGTACATAGCTCTAAATCTATAATATAAGCGGCTAGGTAGTGTGTCAGTCCTTCCTTCCTTCCGTCATCGCTATAGCTTTTGGAACCATAAAAGTAAGCATCGCACCATGCAGTGCTTTTCAGTGCACCGCAGTGTCTTATTATAAGTAATAGAGTAGGGTTTGTTTATATAACGACATAGAGCTATTTTATAATTGCCACTGTGTTTACTATTTTGCATAACTTAAAGAAAATATTAAATACACGCACATTGCTAAAACATATTAAAAGGATCAATGTCAAATATCATTTTCGTTTATATTCCTAGAAAAAGTGGATACATTTTAATAACATAATAACAGTACGGTAGAAAAATCAAATTAATTTAACTCTTTTCTAATTTTGACAAAGGAGGTAATTTAAAAATACATTAAACTCACGCTAATAAAAAATGTAAATGCAAATATACGTTCGTCATCGAAGGAATTAGTGTTGCAATAATATAATTAGCAAATTGTGAATGCAAATTATTCGGATGTGTAAGAGGAAATTATTGTTAGAAAATTATAATTAGCATGGATTGATAAAAGGCAATCTTTTATTTATTTTATTCACTGAATGTAGGCCCTACTGTTTATTACTTATAATTTTTAATCAACTATTCAGCTCTATTATAGACGCGTCATCACGTTCATTAGGTGCGCAATGGTTTTAGTTATGAAACTCTATTGTAATTTTTTTAAATTTAAAGTACTGGAAAAAAATGCGTGAATGGATAAAGTGAAATATTGTAGGTAAAACACGGATATTTTAAATACTGCCTATTATTTATACTGTTTTCTAATTATTATTCTATCTTTCGGGTTTTATAGGAGAGGCGTAGCGAGGGGGGGGGGGCATATGTCCCCGGGTGCCGACCTTAGGGGGCGCCAAAGTGGGTTGGAAAAAATTTTGCGAGGGGGGGGTGGAAATCGAAAGTTTTAGGGCTGGGGGGGGGGGGGGAAGGGGTGCAAATCGAAAGTTTGAGGGGGGTGCAAATCACCGGAAAGGGCGCGATTTTGGCGCTACGGGCTAGACTGTGAGCAAAATGCCTGTATGATTGCATTTAAATTGTGTTTATGTTATGAGTGTTGTGTTTGTTTTTTCGTTGTTTTTTTTTTGCGTTCGTTTGTGTTGTGTTTAGTTTTGTTCTGTTCCCAAGTTGGTACATTTAAAAAAGATTTACCGTGGCGGAGCACGGGATGCAGCTAGTCATATTTGAATGAAATAGTTCATTTCTTTTTATTCTAAACTCGGAAGATGACGTCATCAGTTTCGTGCTCTTTTTTTAGTGTAAACAATAAGCGACGTCATTGTTAAATGCGTTATTGTCCCAAGTTTAAACACTTTTCCGGTTGCATAAATAAAATCGTTTTTCTACATTCGAATACGCCTTTATTTTTTATTTTTCTTCTTTAAATAAAATTGTGGTTATACATTAAAACATCTAACATATTATTTTCAACAAAAGTCCGTATAAAGTGCTCGATATATCGCTGTAGATTCTGATATGATGTCCGGCGAAAATATTTTGCGGACAGACAGACAGAGAGAGAGAGAGAGAGAAGTGAGCACGGTTTTTTTTTATATATTAGGATAGAGTTACATGACTAAAAACCATTGCGCGCCTACTGAAAGTGATGGCGCAGCCATTGAACGTGATGGCGCAGCTATTGAACGTGATGACGCGTGTGGTGTGGTTAAATAGACATGCCTACTAATTCGGTCCAAATTTTAATTAATGCATTAAAAAATTAATTAGGCATCCAATTAGTCAAATTTAATTTCAGATTGCATTGTCTTCATGTCTTGACCCACGTGCCAAGTGTGAACCGTATCGGTCAAGTAGAAGTGTCCGAATTTTCACTCCTGCGTTTCGATCTAGACTGACGACAGACAGAATGACGAGGAAGTGAGTTAAATAAAAGCTTGTAATAAAAGCTTGTAATAAAAGCTTGTAATAAAAGCAACAAAATCACAAGAGTTAAGAACGGTGGTTCTTAACCTAGGTTCGATTGTACCCCAGAGATTCTGCGAGTTAGTCTAAGGGCTTCTGCAAAGGTCAAGACACATACCCGACTCAAATGATTCACGATTGGATTTTGTCAGTGTGGATGAAAGGTTCTGTAAATGCACACATGAAACTGGTGGGGTTCAGTACCTCCAAAAAGTTTAGTATATAGTTCAAAATTATCAGTGAGTTGAACAAAGTAACAAAGCAGTAGCAGTCTTCGTGTTGAAGCCGTTGGTAGGGCGGGTTTTAAGGTTACTAGATCTAACTCTTTTTTACTGTTACACAATCGTAAAACCTTTAATATAATTGGTTTCTTATCAATGTGATAAAGGTTATCTACTCACCAATTCACGCAGTGGAAATCCCTCAGAAAGGCTGGAGTTTTTTTGCCGGGCACTGTTTCTTCATGTTTTTTTCTTTGACAATTACACAACCAAGAAAGAAAACATTTCAATCAATATGTAAAGTCTTGAAGCCGTTAAATTTCTTATTTTTGACTGTAATTCAAAACTGCAGCTTAAAATGAGCTTTTAATTTTTTTTCTACCCCTTTTAGCTCATGTAAGGTTGGCTTTAGCTCATGTAAGGTTGGCTTTAGCTCATGTAAGGTTGGCTTTAGCTCATGTAAGGTTGGAGAATTCGTTTCAGACTGACTGGTGACAAAAGACCAGGAATAAGGGAGGCAGGTGCAGTAGAGTTGTGTGTAGATTTGATTATTGGGCTTTACCGCACAAGCCTTATGAAACTCTACTGCACCTGCTATGTTCCCCACCCATCATCCAGAAGAAATGAAACATCATCTAATTTACAAAGAAATTCTTTACTTTAACCAGAGCAGGGCTTAGCCCATCCCATATTTCTTTCTTTTGTATCAGTAATTTTATTGGACAAGGGGAAATAATTTATATATATACAAACTTATATATACATACCTACATAATAATTCAAACATATATATACTTAAACATATAAATATATACTTATACATATAAATATATATTTATATATAAACATGCATTATATACATGTGTGTCATTTTTTCTGTGAAAATGTATATCCCTTTTTACTTTCTCATATACGAATATAACACATATCATGGTACCAGTCAAGGGGGATAAATTGTAAGTTATAATTTATTTGGTTGCGGCCCCTGTGGGACGCAACTGTTAATGTTTTTAACACGTTTTTAAAACGTTTTTCTTAACTCAGCTTCGCGTTTGTTTGTTTGGATGTTTGTTGTTAAAATTGACATCGAAAATTAGCCCACTTCTGATTGCTCTAGAGACCTGAAATTTGGCATGCATGCTACTTTCGCCTAACAATTTCAGATGCAATCATAAAAACTAGCAATTAGTGACCGTAATTAGCTTAATTTAATTACGCCCCAAAGGACCATAAAATTGAGGACATGATTTCTAAAGAAACCGACAAGACTTTAGGCCTATTGACACAGTTACTTCGGCCCCAATCGATGTGAGCGCGCTGGCCGTGATCGTATAGTGGTTAGTACTTCGCGTTGTGGCCGCGACAACCCAGGTTCGAATCCTGGTCGCTCAAGATTTTTAGTCCGTGTATTTATAAACACTTTTTTAAAAACCACGTTTTTCATGTGTAGCAACGGACTAAAAAGGAGAAAATAAAATACTTAAAAAAAACTTTTTAAAAAACCACGTTTTTCTTGTGGACTAAAAAGTAGAAAATAACTATTTACATACATTTGATGACAAAAAACGTGGGTCGGACAGATGGGTCGGGAAATTTGATGGTGAACGTACCCACGTTTTTTGTCATCAAATGTATGTAAATAGTTATTTTCTACTTTTTAGTCCACAAGAAAAACGTGGTTTTTTAAAAAGTTTTTTTTAAGTATTTTATTATTAACTCAGCTTCGCGTGTGTTTGTTTGTTGTTAAAATTGACATCGAAAATTAGCCCACTTCTGATTGCTCTATAGATCTGAAATTTGGCATGCAGGCTACTTTCGCCTAACAATTTCAGATGCAATCATAAAAACTAGCAATTAGAGACCGTAATTAGCTTAATTTAATTACGCCCTAAGGACCATAAAATTGAGGACATGATTTCTAAAGATACCGACAAGACTGAAGGCCTATTGACACAGTTACTTCGGCCCCAATCGATGTGAGCGCGCTGGCCGTGATCGTATAGTGGTTAGTACTTCGCGTTGTGGCCGCGACAACCCAGGTTCGAATCCTGGTCGCTCAAGATTTTTAGTCCGTGTATTTATAAACACTTAGTCAAGTCATACTTAATCAAGTCATTGGATAAAGTAGAAAATAAACTATATAAAAAACTTTTTTTAAAAACCACGTTTTTCATGTGTAGCAACGGACTAAAAAGGAGAAAATAAAATACTTAAAAAAAACTTTTAAAAAAACCACGTTTTTCTTGTGGACTAAAAAGTAGAAAATAACTATTTACATACATTTGATGACAAAAAACGTGGGTCGGGCAGATGGGTCGGGAAATTTGATGGTGAACGTACCCACGTTTTTTGTCATCAAATGTATGTAAATAGTTATTTTCTACTTTTTAGTCCACAAGAAAAACGTGGTTTTTTAAAAAGTTTTTTTTTGAGTATTTTATTTTTATTGTTCTTCTGTGAGCGATTTTTACCCGTGTCCCATGTCATGTGACACGGGACTCTGGGTAGTTCGTGCCTGTGTCTGTGTCATTCAGACCCAAGGCTGCAGTGGACACGGTAGACCTAATGAAGGGTTACGGTTTGTTTTCTACAGTGTTTTCTACGTTTCTACTGTCTACATCGCCGGTTTGCTTGGATGTGAATGTCAATAAATCCTGTATCTGACAACAGCGTCGTTCCATTGTGTGCTATATCTCAGGGTCAGCCCTTTTAAACACAACACCTCAGTGGGTAACAAGCATCCCCATTGAGGTAGTGTTACACAAAGTATAGAAAAAGTATTGTAATCGTGCAAAATAAAATAATAAAAAAATCGAGAGACTTTTTACATTTACCTGAGTCGGAAAAACATAGTTTTGCAATCTTGTCCATATGTCTGTGTGTGTGTCTGTAAACACGATAACTTTATTATCGTTACAGCTAGGTTGATGAAATTTCATATATAAATATTATATCAAATTTGTAGGTCTGTATAAACTTTTCAGCGATTTCCGGAAACCGGAAGTGGAACTTTTTCTACTTTCGATTTTTCAAAAGCTTATAACTTGAGTACTATTTCAGTTAGATAAATGCAATTTCACATGCAAGTAAAAGATCTAATTAACTGCCTTCTATCAAATTTTGCGTAACTTCCGTTGACCGAAAGTAGTAATCTACGCTATTTCCGATTTCTCAAAAAACGCATGTGAATTTATAAAGTACTAATAATATTCTGCACTATTATACACATTTTGTGAGGCGTTCACTTAGTTTAAGTAATTAAAAATGGATTTAAAATATTGTCTATACCCAGTAGAGTTATATAAAAATATTCGAGAAAGTTTAGAGAAGATCACTCCCGGTTTATTTATGTCATTTACAATTGATGTGGGTTGTTTCTTCATTCTTTTCACAGGGTATCATAGCAGGCATTAATGCTGCCTGTTATGTTCTGGGTAAGCCCCCATTAACTGTGAGCAGGGCTGAGGGCTATATTGGTGTTCTTGTAGACGACCTGACAACACAGGGCACATCAGAGCCGTATCGAATGTTTACAAGCAGAGCGGAGTTTCGTCTGTCATTGAGGCCAGATAATGCTGACATTAGACTAACCCCTAAAGGTGAGTTGACATTAGACTAACCCCTAAAGGTGAGTTGACATTAGACTAACCCCTAAAGGTGTGTTGACATTAGACTAACCCCTAAAGGTGAGTTGACATTAGACTAACCCCTAAAGGTGTGTTGACATTAGACTAACCCCTAAAGGTGAGTTGACATTAGACTAACCCCTAAAGGTGAGTTGACATTAGACTAACCCCTAAAGGTGAGTTGACATTAGACTAACCCCTAAAGGTGAGTTGACATTAGACTAACCCCTAAAGGTGAGTTGACATTAGACTAACCCCTAAAGGTGAGTTGACATTAGACTAACCCCTAAAGGTGAGTTGACATTAGACTAACCCCTAAAGGTGAGTTGACATTAGACTAACCCCTAAAGGTGAGTTGACATTAGACTAACCCCTAAAGGTGAGTTGACATTAGACTAACCCCTAAAGGTGAGTTGACATTAGACTAACCCCTAAAGGTGAGTTGACATTAGACTAACCCCTAAAGGTGAGTTGACATTAGACTAACCCCTAAAGGTGAGTTGACATTAGACTAACCCCTAAAGGTGAGTTGACATTAGACTAACCCCTAAAGGTGAGTTGACATTAGACTAACCCCTAAAGGTGAGTTGACATTAGACTAACCCCTAAAGGTGAGTTGACATTAGACTAACCCCTAAAGGTGAGTTGACATTAGACTAACCCCTAAAGGTGAGTTGACATTAGACTAACCCCTAAAGGTGAGTTGACATTAGACTAACCCCTAAAGGTGAGTTGACATTAGACTAACCCCTAAAGGTGAGTTGACATTAGACTAACCCCTAAAGGTGAGTTGACATTAGACTAACCC